TTCACTTGATTATTTGGTTACATTCATTTCTTGTCAATGAAATGAATTATTCATTAAAAAAGAACAGTATTAGGATGTATTGTTTTCGCTTAGGTTTCTTCATGTGAATGATCAGATATTAACCATATAAGCTGATTTAGTGTAATTAATCAGTTGACTAAAAATCTTAGTAAACATACTTCAAGCTCAGTTTTCTTATTATCTGGAGAAAAAAGCTTAAGTAAGTAATTTTAACAAGAAAACGATTTATATATCATGAAAACAAAAAAAAGTTTTAATAAATTGGTTGATATTTCATTCCTATTTAAATTCTTCAGTAATCAGTACTATCTTCCTTTACTTCAGAAAAGAGTAGATAATTTTGATTGTTATAAGTTACTTTTATTGAAAAGCGAAAACTTAAATGCTTTATTTGATGTTGTTCAGCAAAATATGTGAGAGGAGAAAACCTAAAATATACAAAAATCAACATTATAACTTATTGAATATCGGCTTTATTTAGATGTCAGACATGTGTTACCTATTGCATTCGGCAATTATCTGAATATGATACTGATATATATATATGCTTTCTATACACTAATCCAACCAACTACTCTTTTAGAGATTTATATTGTTCAGTAATTGTTCCACATGACGTTTCAATATTTCATGCTTGACTCGAGTAAAACATTATAGATTTTCAAAAAATCATTCGTTGAATGGTGACTTATTGTTACTGGTAAGTGAGATTTACAGTCCTTATCATTCTTGTAGCATCTAAACAATTGTTATTTGACACGATAATGAGAAATTTGAGCAATTTACCCTTTCTTTTGTTTCAACGCCTAGAAAACTGTATGGTGGTTGTAAACCAGTAATTAAATGGCAACATACTTCAAACGGTTCTCTTTTATAAAATAAACCGACAAATCTCCCACACATTAAAATCTAGAGCCTTTAGTATTTTGCCCTAAGGTTTTATACACTAAAGTATATGACAATTCTGGAAGCCCACTTTTCTATTTATTCTCATGCTTATGTGTGTTCAATATCTTTAATTATAAAATAGATTATTTCGGATGATAAGTATCGTTGTGTCACTGTTATTAACTCATCGATATCAGATTACCAAACAAGTAAAATACTTCTGCTGACCACAGAAGGTTGATAAAATTGCCGTCATCCAAGAGTTTATCTCATCTAAGTTACTGAGATAGCAATAGTTAGCTGAAGTGCGAATTGATTATACGAAGCGATGATTTGTTATATTAGGTCAAAGGTTAAGTTGAGTATAGCTGACTGGACTTTATCAAGGACGCATATGATAGATAGACACATATACAAGAATAATAGTTTACTATGGAATAGTGATAAATTTTATAAGGTCAGTTAAACTTATTAAATATATATACTGCAGAAACAATAAGTTGACATTGTTTATTTATAGTTAAGGCTCTCGGTTTGCTCCATTGAATTTAATGAAAACAAATTAACTTTAGTGATTTGGTTAATCAACCTTTTGTGATTATTTTTACTCTGTTACAATCTATGTAGACTAACCTGAATTTAATTTCTTATATTCTAAGTAAAATTAAGAAAGGAGCTTCGCTGAAAGACTGCAATATTTAAATCAGACTATTTCGGCACTCCTCTGATACCTGACATTAATACCAAAATCTTTAGGGTCTGTGATAAAAATATTACTTTTGACCATCTGATTTTGTGATGTAATAAATAACTGATAACACTATTGAAATAATTCATATTTCTGAATGGACCTCCGAATCGCGAATTGATCGAGATATTGAAACAAAACACCCTATTGAATTATTAAATAAATATAGACACTTCGACTTTCATTTATTTACACAATACTTACTAAGAATAATATCAATAATCACATAACAAGTACTTAGTGAATCTTGGAGACTTAAGTCACAAACCGACCAATGAACCTTCTTATCTGCCAGTAATATTAGCTCAGTCATAACCAAACAATAAATTTTTTCCAGCCTCAGGCAATCATTAACTTAGGGAAAGAAACACGTACTAGCGTTATTTTATGTTCTCACTTTCAACATATGCAAAACCATTTTTCATGGATTTATCTAAAGACTTTGTGGAATTCATCATAATGAAGTGGTCAGGGAGACTTAACATCAATTGGAGGAATATCAAAAATCAAGAGTCATCCCATTCCTTTCAGACAGCCGAAGTTAGTTTAGGGTATTCAGCCTTAACAGACTAACAATCTCGGATCAAATATTTAGGTGGATTGAAATATTGTATTGAACAGAACACGGGTTGAGACAATCGAATGTATCTAGCACAAAATTACAGGACCTGTTAATAAAAGCTAACAATCATGAAGTAAATGCTTAATTGCAAAATGTCCGTCGATTGCCTCAAAATGACTCAGACTCCATTGTTCTTGCATTTTCACACAAATTGCATTCCGTTTCCATTCACTACTCTTCGATCTTCTTGTCTCTCTGCTGCTAGACCTTCTGTTCACGAGTAACGTCATATACTACTTATGTAAATATAAGTAGCACATACCACAATATCATCGTAAGTGGTATTTAACCATAAAGTAGTTTACGAGTTAGGTTTAGTCGGTTGAAAGAAGATTTCAAACTGTAAAATCTTCATGATTCAAAAGTTCATAAACTTATCAAGCAAATGTCCTGGAATCTTTTAAGATGTTTAACAAATAAAATACACGTATTGTTTCTAAATTCTCAAAGCTGTGGCTATGCAGCCCGGCGGTCTGCTTGGATATCTGGGCTACCTGTTCTTGCCATCTAGATATTTCAGTAAGTTATTTGTTTCCCTGTTTGTTTTAACAGATCATTATGTCAATTAATTGTATAACTTATTCATGTGAAAACTTTACGACTTTTCGATGTTCACGTTACAAAAATGTACAATCGGAGACACCGTGATGGCTGGCTATATACATTGAAAAGAATGAATATTATCCAGATGTTGACTTCTGAAACGCTAGAATCTAACTGGCGATCACTCAATATCTATCGTTAATATCGACTGAGAAATAAGAAACGGGGAGTCAGTGAGATACTTTTTGCTGAGAATTCTATATTGTACCCAAAATATAATATTGAATACAGCTAATAATAATAGTAATAATAATAATAATAATAATAATAATAATAATAATAATAATAATAATAGCTGAATTGGTATTCCAAATGTAGGCGATTCCCACTATGCTTGCAATGTTTACATGACATGTCATTTTTTTACTATCTCATGAATTATTGTAAGGGGATATGAATTATATGAGTGTGATGAGTCTCTCCAGTTAACCTTCAAGGTTTCAGTCTTCGTAATATTTATGTCCTCTTATCAGTACATATGTGATTATTACTCGACATGAACTTGCAGTCGTAGTTTCTTCTATCTTTTTTATTATTATATGCATTTCTACCCCTGTATTAAATATATCGGTTCAAATTTTGGAAGCAGATAAAGCTTCAAAAACCCTTGAATTTACAAAAAAAAAGAAAAAAACAAATAACTTATACCAAATAGTTGGTAGAATTTCAAAAGAACTCCATGGAAATCCTTGAAACGTTTAATTTATTCAAGTGGATCAAGATTTTTAGTAAAGAGCACGAAGGTTACAAAAATGATGCTAGACAAAAATAAAGATCCGATAATTACTTTGACGAGACGGTAATATATACACAGTCACTTTTGGTTTTCGAAAATTGATTTGATTTCCAGCTGGCTGTAGATGCACAACCTATTCGAAACACTGTGCTATCAAATTCAAGTTTTAGTTATCATATTGTATTACTGCTGATTATTTTTGATTTTGGTACTTATTAAACGTTGATATATTATATATGTTTACTGAGCTGTCAACTCATCTATTTGCCTTTGTTATCTCTTCCTGATTCCCTCACACATTCCGCTCTTCACTACTTAACAATACAACGTACACGATGGAAGCGGAAGCTGTGATGCTGATAAAAACATGAAATGACAAGGTGGCTGAAGAAATGTTCTTTTGTTAACTTACGAAAATATTACGAAGATGGCGTAAAGGTATTGACAAAAATGTAGAGTATTACAAAAGGTATGAGATTGATGTATTGTAATTTCTTAAACTAAATTTTCTGCGACCTCATCGCATGAATTTATCGTGCAAAACACCTAAGCATTATTGTTGCCATTATTCGGTATTCTTTTAATGTTGTAACTCCACTTAGTTTTGTCAGTCATAGATTTCTGCTTATTTATCCTTAGGCACTCATTTTTAGAGAACAGGTCATATGTTTAATTTCACTATCAATTAGTGGACATGTTGTAATAAATGAATGTTTAAGATCATTTACACGTTATTTAGCCGGTGAATGTTAGTTGCACAAAAGTCACATTTACTCTTTTCGGGTGCCATGTTTAACGGTGACTTCAGTGAATAAACGATGATAAGTCCTAAATTCGACATCTGGCTGAACTGGTTTTTCTCTTTTTGGGGTCTAGTTGGCATACGCTTGAGAATATAGGTTACCCTGTTATAGTGTTGTGATATGTAACATTGGTGGTCAAACGTGGTAACTTTGTAGATGATTGTTTGATGTGATGTTCAGATTAAACCTACACAATGGTTTTCAGGTCATTACGAATTCTAACGACTTTTCTACCAAGTAAATTTACCTATTAAATTTTGCGTCAGAAAGCACCTTTCAAAACAGAGCCTCTCTGTTTTTAGAAGCACCCATATCTACTTTTGCTTGTGTAAGTTATTTAGTACTTTGTTCTATCACCTAGTTTTAGCTATCAGATTGTATTACTGCTGATTGCTTTTGATTTCGATACTCGTTAAACGTAAGCATGTTATATATGTTTGATGAATTTTAAACTCATTTTTTCGGTTTTTCTTCAGCCTTTCGGCTTCCCACACACATTCCGCTATTCACTCTTCCAGAATACAATTTACGTTTAAACTAGATTCTGACTTAGCGTATATTGTACATTCACTTGTTTAGGTCAGTTAGTGGCCTTGAAATAGTTCAAAACTATGGAGTCTCAGGATGATAGTAATACGCAGGAGTCAAAAAGCACAGATACTAGGGTTTATTTAGATAAAACTGTGGTCCCAGTACTTTTAAAAGGCCTGAATATGATAGCCAAAGAAAGGTAATAACTTGTTTACTTTAAATTCTTTAAACATCAGACCGCCTAACCCAATCGAAGCGTTGGCAATATTTTTGATGCAGCATAAAGAGGAGACAGAAAACGAATAGTCTAGAGAAGAAATTTTTAAATACTGCTTGAAATAAATCTTTTTATTTTGTGAAATCGAAAGTGCGGAAGTTTTTTTCGAATAATGATTGTAAATCAATAAAACGTATATTTTGATATTCAGGTTGTCATATAGTTAGTCTCCTCCTAATTTTCTTCATAATTTCTGTTCTCATCTGTTTTCAATTTTTATCGTAGGTGTCCTGCTCTACGGTTTTCACCTTCGAATCGTTAATTAGCTCATTGGAAATTTTTTCTGAAGTTGCATCGCTGCACTTGTTTACCTCGAGTAGGTTTACTAGAAGAACATTAGTTGCAAAGACTTTAGTTCAGAACTTCTAGGCGTGACGAACGTCACTAAAGTATTAGTGTACTGCATGAGATGTCTTATTTTACTAGTTTCCGTTATTACTCGTTGTTTGAAGTCCGCTTTCTCAATATCGTTAAAAAACCTCATGAGTTTCTCGACCGTTTGGAGTAGGAACTCCATCCTTCATTGTTTATGGATTTATTGTGGTTCCGTTTGTAGCAGTCAACTTAAGTACCCATAAATCCAAAGGACTTTCTTTTTCGTCTTTGTTCATTTTATACGTTAGGTTCCTTCATCCAGTATTAACTTCAGTTTGGTTCTTGGATACATCCGTTTTGGTTTTTAAAAAGACAGGAGGTTAAGTGGCCTGTGTTACTTTTGGCAATTGTTGTCTCAGTTGATCTAACTTTCCTTTGAAAGCGTCGACAGATGTAGTTCCATTCACGTGTTGAGGTAACAAGTTTTATTGATTGGTGGTTTGATGGAAAAGTCGATAGTCAGCTGACAAGTAATTTGTTCTGGCCTGTGGACTTTTTCAGTGTCCTCGTAAATTATCTGTTTTGGAAGATAAGAAAATTGAGGGCATATCAAATGCAAATTTATCATTAAGTAATTTAAAAACTGATCAAGTTGCTTCTGGTTCTTCAATATGACAAGGTAAATAAATTTAGTTTGGTCAATCATCATTTGGAAGCTTTGCGATTTTGAGAACCTGCTTAGTTGTGGTTCATTGAACCCTTTCTAACAGCTCGGACGAGTAGTGTATAAAAATTCAAAAAGGTTTTAGCATCAACATGGCAAAGGACTACGTATTGAGCATAGTGTTCTAAAGAATTTGGCGGTTATCGCATGGCAGCGTGCAGTAGTTGTTAAGTCTTGGCTAACGACGACTTTTAGGTTGTGTCTGGACAACAGGTAGCTCGATGTTATTTATTGTGCATGTATCTGTACCTTGGTGATCAATACACACCATAATGCACTTGGAAGCATTTATCCGTAACTGCCAGGTTGTAAATCATTCAGATTATTTTTCCAGGTTATTTTGAAGCTCTGAACTATCAACACTTTATCGCTCTCCGTATCTTGACATTGTCAGCATATTACAAAACTGATGACGGTAGGAGTGTTGGAAGATCATTTACATACAAAAGTGACACTACGCCCCATAACTCTACCGCGAGGCGCATTGCTAAGCACTGTTTCCCAGCTAGACAATTTCGAGTTCACTTGTACTCTTTGTTGACACCCAACTAGGAAGTCCTTTATTCAGATAAATAAATTGCCTCCAGTCACGATATTACTTAACTTAGATAACAGCCGGTTGGGAGGAGCTTTGTCAAAAGACATACTGAAGTCAATGCAGGGTGCATCTATGGATGGCTTTTGGTATTTGATAGTTAAGCAACTTTCACGGGCTATTAATGAGTTTGTGGGATATGAATTATCTGTCCTAAGGCCATGCTGCTTTTCAGAAAGAATCTGGCTTTTGTCTAGATACTTAAACAACTTCCGAATAACCTTATCTAAAATTTTAACAACCACGCTGGCTAGGCTTACGGGTCGGTAGTTCTCAGGTTTGTGTCTCATACATGTACTGAAGACCACTTACTATGGCGTTCTTTCAGCCCTTTTACAATCGACCCTGGGTTACATATAGATTAAAGCATGTGCTTTAGTGGTTTTGCGGTAAAATTTGCTAATTCCTTTAGTAACACAGGATATATTTCATCACGGCCGTTTTACTTACCTATGTCAAGCTCATTTAGCAGGCTAAAGAAATCAGTTTCTTTAGTGGTTACAGCGTCCAAAGTGTGTGTAAGGGATTGCATGAACCGATAGGGGTTATCTCTGCGGTATTTACATTCCTAAAGTATTTTGAGAATACCTGAGCTTTACTATAATCGTCCTCTACTAATAATGCAGTAGTACTTTCTCCTAATATTGCTGCAACGTTGCCTCTTTTGGTTTATGCACAGATGTTGGCGTTTAGGGTATTCTATAGACTCCTTGACATGCTCATCTTCATACGATCTGTACTTGCGGAGGAACAAGGAGAAGATAGTTCGGGCTTTCTGACATCGGGATTTTGTCTCTTCAGCACCCGCTGGCCTAACTCCATCCCACATTCTTCTCCACCAAAGGATGTCCGGTGCAGTAGATTTTGCGTACAAATTCCTGAATACGTCACAATCCATTTCAATGGGGGATTCAGGTTCTATTGTCCGATTTACTGGGGATACTGAGTGTATGGTTCCCTGTATATTTGCTTTCCGGACGTTTGGTCTGGCTTGTGTTGACATATCGTTGTTGACAACGATGTGGAAATCATAGACTGGGACTGCATGGCCACTTACCTGTGGATGGAATACAGTGAGGTTTGTGACGCCATCCTCATATGAGGTCTAATAAGGCTGATTCGGAGTTCAGGTCGTACCTAGTTGCTTCTTCCAGATGTTACACTAGGGCACATGTGATAACCGCGTGAACTAGTTCCTGTTTGGAAGAATTTTTTGACATCTCAGTCCTCAGATTCTTTCGGTCAACTATAGGTGCATTAAAGTCTCCTAAGATTAAACACCGACCCCTTGGAGAACCAAGTGTTTGAACCGTCTAACAAGATCTCATTCACTTCACAGTCTGGTCTGTGGTATACCAAACTAATCAGCAGCTCTTGAATTTTCATTTCAGGAGGCAGTTAACTAATTCGCACGCTCTACCTTCATGGGATATGTCAACGACAAAGGTAAGAGGAATAGTATTGCTAATGAATATAGCTACTACTTCTCACCTCTGGGCTATGTTGTCCAGTCTACTGAGGACGCTGGGTGTATAATGTCCTGTGTACTGGCTTTCCAGACATTTGGGCTAACATATCCTCGTTGGTGACAACAATATGGAAATACATGATCACATTTGCGTTTTTGAAACGATTAGATATTTGCAGATATTGATTCGTAGTTATCTGTGGTGCCTTTTGTTCTTCATTATTATAGATCAGTTAGGTACTACTGATTAGATTGTGGTGCTCGCACATGAATAAAATTTCGTCACTGACTTTTGGTATTTTAGTCTAGCTATATTCACTGAGAGTACTTAGTGGTGCTTTGCTTATAGTAGATTTTCGAGCTATTGGTGATTACTTCCTTAGGTAACTTACTACTGGTTTACATCCTGTTAAGAGGAACGATAAGGTCTGGGTGCTGGGACCGGTATCAAAGGCATAGGAGGTTATCAATGCCAATCACTCATAAACAGAGGATTTGGCGGAACTATGCGTTGACCCAAGTTGAATTAACTAATTTCAAACTAAGATTTGAAAGACGAAATGAAAAGCTTGGTTCAACATTCAGACTCAAAACTTAGAAGACGATCAGGAATGATTGCATTTACTCCACTGCAATCGCATTAACTTAAGGTCTACAATTATCGATCGGGATTATCGTGTTGACCATAGGGAAAAATTCACTTGATACGTTCCAATTCAGTGGTTAGCAATTTCATGGGTCGATCGCATATCTTGTGTAAGACGCTCATAAGCCTCTCACATCTTAAACAATCTAACGTTGTACATTGGAGCAGGTCATTTCCAACCTTTTAATAATGTGAACTTACTAGTGTAAATGTGAGTTCAAGGTGCGAAAAGCAATTCGGTTCCACCGTTATCTCCATTCGATTGCAAGGATATATGTTGCATAGGAGTACAATACTTCCAGTGCGTTATTACCTTTTTTTATCAAGAAAGTTTGTACTTGACGGTAGTAAATTGTTAATACTTAAGGATCACAACCGCCATCAGCTCTTACTCGACAAATAGTGTTCGAGCAGAGAGCCTGTACAAGGTTAATCTACTTTGGTACACCTTACAATGACAGACACTGCCACAGGACCTCATAATTAACTGAGCCGAACGCCGCCTGACGGTCAAGGAATACAACAATTATCGGACGTCGTGAAGTATTTCTGTGTCAGAGTCTGCCGAAGAGTGAAAATTGTCTATACCACCGCGTCCATGTCTGAAACCAAACTGATTTTCTTAGTTCTTCACGAGCTCTAGTTAGACTTCAAAGTGTTATTGTGAGGCTAATATTTTAGGTATGATATTAGTCACTGTGCTGAAGTATTGTTTACAGATCATGAAATGTTAATTTCTATGCAGGAATTTTGTTAGGTCCTCTTAACGTTATGTTGTCCTATGATTATATATTGTTGACACCTACTTTAATCACCTAAGTTGATTAATATGAGCTCACTGACACAAAGAAGTTGACTCTTGAATTCTTAAAGAAAATTAATATTGCTTGTCTTAGTGCAATAAATTATATCGACATTGGTCCGATGGACCAAATCGTATTTTTTGATTCGTTAAGTGTCTTATAGAATTTCTTGCTTTTTGTCCGTATACATAATAGCACTAAATTTCCAGTTTAAAGATTTACACACATAAGTTGGAGAATATCACTTTTCAGTCAAGCCGTCTCAAAGTAAAAACAATCTGTGTACAAAAAATTTGGTGAAAAGTAAGAACAAAAGTTGCAAACATGTATGATCAAAAAAATCATCCTAGTCTTTTTGGTCTTTGTATTCATACTCATGAGTTGAACAGATGTACAATAATTTGAAAATCAGCACAGTTAGTGTTCGTTTTTTGATTGGGCTGATTTTTGTCTAGGCTGTTAGTACTGTCTCATTTTCCTTTTAACATAAACAAAAGGTCTAGATTTGTTTGTTGTCTCAATTCCCACTTTTCACATCACAGAAATGAGAGAGACTTAAAGGAAAAAAGTGGAAATAACATAATTACTAATTAA